ACCCTTGCTAATACACTGCCTGGACTTGGTAACTATCTCCACTCTTGAACTGCACACATCTGTTCTGAGCTGTTTCCGGTGGGGTTAAGCCAGCTCCAGCACCCGTCTCTACCTTGCTAAGAGCGGTGCGTCCCTAACTGATGAGGACAGCCCCCGTGGCCACAGCCATGCTTCGTGTGTCTTCCTTTATGGGTGGACTTGTGTCCCCTTCACAGCACAGCCTGAAAACAGGTCCGAGCTGGCCCGGCTGGAGGAGGGCTTGTGCGTAGAAGGCCCTTTTCTCACGGGCTCGGGTCTCATGAGCTTGTCCTTTTCATGTCTGCCCTTTTTTTTTTTTTTTTCCTAAACCTACATCTTCTTTAAGATCTGATTCTGACTCTTGCCATAGGGAGAAACAGAATGAAATCACCTAGAATGGTTTTAAACCAGCCTTTGGATTTTGTTTCTGATGGAGAAGACCTTCTGTAGTATGCTTTCTTTTCAACAGAATTTTCTAAAATCCCATGTGAGACCTAATTGCTCCGACACTGTCCCTGGCCCTCTCCATCCGCAGCTTTGCACGGTGGGGATTCTGGTGATGGAAAGGGGGACAGGGATAGCGTCATCATTTATAAATCATAGACTTTGAACTGCCAGTCTTTAAGATTGGAGAAAATGTTATTTCAGCTCTGGAGATGCGGTGTGGGGAAGGGGAGCCCTAAAGGGAGGGCTGCTGGCCTTCACAAGACCTGGTCCTCCCAGGACCTCCCGTTTCATGGTATGAAGATAGTTCAATAAAATCTACGTCGACGAGTCAGAACTTCCTAAGTAAGATTGATTCCCACAGCAAAGGAACGGGGTCGTGTCTGATCACTCAGTAACTGTTTCAAACACCGGGAACTTCACGCTGTCTGCTTTCTCCAGGGTGTTTCAGCAAAGACCAGGTGTACTTGGACGGGATCCTCCAAATCCTGCGCTTCAGGGAGACCATAGACTTCCACCTGCTCACTGCCCTGGGGAAGGTGAGTAAAGGCTGGCCGGGCACCCTCACACACCGCAGCCTCTAGCCTGGTGTGGTGGTTCAGGACCCGGGTCGGGTGCTCTTCTCTCTGTTGGTGGAACGCACTGCCTTGTCGTTGCGTCCGGAGAGGACGAGGCTGTTAGAGATGCGCGCCGCAGCTTCGTGGGGGGCGGGCGGTGAAGGGCGGGAGGGAGCGGGCGTGTATGTCTCCCATTGGATGCACGTTTTCCAGAGGGCCCGCTCTAGAGAGCATCTTCTTCTAGGAGCATTTCAAAGGAGGCCATAACCCTTCGTTCTCCCTTCTCTTATTTGAAGTCTGTCTGATTTATTCCATTAGAAGGACAGAGAAAGGGAGAGAGGCTGGTCCCTCAACAGGGCCTTCAGGCCACGACCCGCCCCGGCTTCGACACGGGCACGAGCCTGGGACCCTCCCAAGTGGCCTGTCAGCCCTGCGTCACGGCCGCGTCCCCACTGGCTGCATGGCAGGCTAAGGGTACTGTCCGGGAGGCCACACGGTTCTGCTGCATGGTGCTCATTACTGACTCGGCATCACAGCAGGTGTGGCCCACTCCCCACGGTCTCCAACGTCCCGGGTGGCGCGTTTGTTGTGACCAGACCCAGCACCCCCTGGGTTGGACTCGTCCATCTCGCTCTTCTGGAATAGTCCTGGACCCCCACGTCCGCTTGTGACATTGTTAAGAGTTCAGGACAAGTTTCTTGAGAACCTCTGTCCAATCTGGAATATCTGATTTTTATCACGGTAAGACGCAGGCAGAACATTTAGTCACAGATACTGCACACAAGTGGTGTGTGCTTCTCACAGGGGTGCCGCGTGTAGGCCGTGTGTGCCTCTCATAGTCAGGGATGCCGTGTATAGGCCGTGTGTGCCTCTCACGGGTGCCGTGTGTAGGCGGTGTGTGCCTCTTACAGGGGTGCCGCATGTAGGCGGTGTGTGTGTCTCACAGGGGTGCCGCGTGTAGGCAGTGTGTGTGTCTCCCATAGTCAGGGGTGCTGCGTGTAGGCGGTGTGCGTGTCTCACAGGGTTGCCGCGTGTGGGTGGTGTGTGTCTCATCTCGTCACTGGAGTGCACACCCTCTGTCCCACCTTGCTGTCTGACCAGGCGGGGAGGTAAGTGACCCCAGCCTCCCGGCGATGAAGCCCCTTCCTCCGTGCCTGTCATCGTGCAAGGGGACCGTGACGGGGTCACCCACAGCGGCCGTCCAGGGCGTGTGACCTTTGCTGAATCGGCTGTTGCTCTGGTAGAAGCAAAGTAGGAATCTACTTCTCTTACACCTTCTCTTCCACCTCCCTTTCTTTACGGTATTATTACTACTTTCTGAAAATTTTCCAGAGGGGGTGTACCCTCGCCAGAGAGAGAGGGGACACACAGGGCAGTCACACTGCAGCCGCTTCTCCCAGCCTCTCTCCTGGGACTTGGTACACACACGTGCCCAGTGTGGTCATCTTTTTTTCTCATTATTGATTTTTTTTTTTAGCTACAGAGTGGGTTTGGTGGACAGAAGGAATGAGAGAGAGAAAATGAGCACGCACCCCCCTGGGGGATGGCCACACTGCAGGCCCTCCTCCCCATCCCCCTCTTGGGATTCTGGGCGTACATGCACACATGCACCCGACGGGTTTCTCAAGCCACCAGGTCTGGGATCTGGGCTCATTCTTTACCTTCCCTACCCAAGTCCGAGACTCGCCCTTTCTTTAACCAAGCATGATCTCCTTTCAGTGAGAAATAGTGTCTGGGAAGCAAAACCTGGGCACCGGGCATGCCCCCTGCTGGGCGCCCGCTCCTAGGCCCTCGCAGTGCGAGTGGCAGGGCCAGGGCGGCCGCTGCTCCCAGCCCACAGGGTCCCTTCCCGCCCCCATCCCAGTGCGCCTCCTGTCCTCCAAGAGCCTCGTCCCCGGACCAGTGCGGTTACTCCTCACCTGTAATAAACGCACGATGGCCTAAGAGTCATTAAACTCCGCCAGTACCAATACATCTGTTTCCGTTACATTTAGTGGGGTAAATATTATTTTTAATAAAATTTTAATAATAAAACTTCTTTTTGAGAGAATTTTGCTATAGGCTGTGTGCGCTCACCTGAAAGAGAAAGAGACAGAAAGTGAGAACTCACCCCCGCGGGGGTGGCCACGCCGCAATCCCTTCTCCTCTCAGTATCTTGGGCATGTGAACACATGCACCTGGCATGAGGGTCAGCGTGCTAGATCTGGGACTTGAACTGTGACTGACTGACTGCATGGGTGCAGGGACGTAACTAGTATGCCATCTGCTTTCCCAATAATACCAACTTCTAAAAACCTAGTAAAATCTGTATACGACGTGACATGATTTCCTTTTTTTTTTTTCTTTTTTTTTGGAGAGGTTTTTGCTATAGGGCGTGTGCGCTCGCCAGACAGAGAGAGACAGAGAGACAGAAAGCAAGAAATCACCCCCCAGGGGGGATGGTCACGCCGCAATCCCTTCTCCTCCATTCTCCTCTCGGGATCTTGGGCACGCACACACACGTGCCTGGCGTGAGTTTTAAGCCACCGGGTCCGGGACGCGAACCGCGGTCGACTACATGGGAGTCCAGCAACATAACCATTATGCTAACTGCTGGTTCCCACGATTTCTTTTCTTAAACCCTTTCTACTAAAGCTGGCAAGTGTTGGCAGAAGAAATAGCATTTAGAGCCGACCGTGTTTGGGACTTGAAAGAATTTAGCACGTTCCCCCCACACCCGTCAGCTGCTGTGGAGGACTGGCTCGTCCTGGAGGCGGAGGGGGCGTGAGCGGCTTTCTTCTTCAGACAGCATCGCTGCACGGCCCAGGCCCTCGTGCCGCAGCCGTGGGCGCACCATTGTCCCTGGCAGTTAGCTTGGCCTGGGATTGAACCCGTGTTGTCCAAGCCTTCAGAGGACAGTGTCGCTGTGCAGGCCACCGTGCTGGGTCTAAGGTGTGAAATTTTACGAAGTCACTTAGAAAATGTCAAATAGAAGTGAGAGAATAACAGGAAGCACAGAAAATTTATTTCGTGAATTACATAGAGAGTAGACTTTGGTACATAACTGTACTAATTTCCTAATTTACTAATATGGTATTTTGGAACCAGCAGTTGGCATGACGGCTACATCACTGGACTCCCATGTAGCCAACCGCATTTCGCGTCCCGGACCTGGTGGCTTAAACTCAAGCCAGGCGCGTGTGCATGCGTGCCCAAGATCCCGAGAGGAGAATGGAGAAGGGATTGTGGTGTGGCCATCTCCCCTGGGAGTGATTTCTCACTTTCTGTCTCTCTGTCTCTCTTTCTGGTGAGCACACGTGGCCTATAGCAAAAACCTCTCCAATAATAATAATAATAATAATAAGAATAATATGGTAGTTCTATTATGACTATTTTCTTTATTATTTATCTTAACCAAGAGATTTGTGTTCAGAGTATGAAACATATACATGTTGAGTTGTCTAATATTTAAACAAATTGAACAGATCCAAGATGGTGTTAGATCAAATATTGGTTATCGATCTTATTATTACATGGTCGTAATATAGGGAGACAAATACATTCTTACTTAACATAGTTTTAAACAGTAAACCACTAACTTGTGTTATTTTGCTGCCATTAAAGTAGTTGGACAAACAATCCAAACACAAATCCCTAATCCAAAAATTCAAAATCTGAAATGCTCCCAAACCCGGACCTTTCCAAGCGCCAAGACCCACAGTTAAACGCTGCAGCTGCCCTCACGCCTCTCGGTCAGAACGCGGCAGTGCGGGTGCACGGTATGAAATGTCCGGGCTGTGCGTGTGAGGTCAGGAAACAGGAATGGATTTGTGTGGACTTGGGGCCTGTCCCTAATGCCTTACCATGTAGATGTACATATTCCCACACAGTGCTGGCCCGAGCACTTTGGATCAGGGATACTCTGTACTTGGACTCAAAATGCAGGAAGAAATGTATCTTGAGATCGTGACCCCGCTGACCACTTGGCCTACCGGCTAAGGGAGCTGGACACCTCATGACCAGCCACGCAGCTTCCTGACACCTTGAATACACCCGGGGCGGGGGCAGGGAGCGTGCGTGCCAGACCCTGGCGGGGTGGGGAAATGGTGGAGTGGAATTGCAGTGACTGTGACCCTCGGGGCGGGGGAGCGTCTCCCTTTTCCTCTCTCCCTGTCTCTCTGGACAGCACACGTTCCCTCTGGAAATTAAAACAAATAAGTTTTTTCAACTGCAACTTGTAGGGCATGGCGGTTCAAGTGGCCGGCTCCCACATGGCCAACTGTGTGGCCGGCGTCCCGGACTCAGCGGCTTGAAAACATGCCTGGCACATGTGCGTATGTGCCCCAAATCCCAAAAGGAGGCAGAATGGAGAAAGGACTGCCGCGTGGCCACCCCTCAGTGTTCACATTGGGTTGTCTGGAGACTCATGATGCACCTCTGCATGGAGAAGTATGTCATGCCTTCCTGACAACCTGATGTGTATACTCGTGTGTCCCCGTGTCTCGCAGTCGCTGTGTGTCCCCGTGTCTTGCAGCCGCGCTGTGACACGAACCGTCTCCCTTCTCAGGTCTCTTACGAGGATGTGGACCGCCTGAAAGGACTGGCAGTCACCGAGAACATGAGGGTCCCGCACTTCCTGCAGGACCACGGCCGGTACATGGAGCACTTGGAGAAGATCATGGAGGTGAATGAGCTGACCGACAGGGAGCTGAGGGACCTCGTCTAGCGCCAGCACCGTGCAGGCGCACGGGCGGGTTGGAAAGGAAGTGCCTGGCGCTCCGCGGGGAGTGCAGCTGGGCGCGGGCGCACTGGCGATTGTACAGGGAGAACGCACCCCTGCTCCGCGGGGAGTGAGGCGGGGGCGGGGCACCCAGGTTATAAAGGAAGACCCACTGGCACGCGGCTCCGGAAGACTGACCCCAGCCGTCAGTGACTTTGCAGTTAAGCCCAGACCTCGGGTCGTGCCCTCCAGTGTGTCTACAGGCTGCAGGGGTCATTCCTCCTGCTTTCATCTGACTCTCAAGTGTTTGCCAAGACTGGGTCACCCCGAGTGGTGGACTTGCACCGGAGCAGGGAGCCCTGGCCTCGTGCTGGCCTGAGCCGGCGCAGCCCCACCTGGAGACTCACTGGTGTCCGGTGTCACTCGTGCTCCTGGCTTTTGTCTCGTTTGACGTGTCATTATAATTATTCTCCGTGGAAACGTTAGCTTTGTGATGCTCCAACAAGGCAGGTGTGGCTGAGAGTTTTACATTCTCTTCCACGCTGAGTACCGTTAGAGGGAAGGAAACGCAGCGGGAAGTTTCCATTGAGCCCTCCCCAGTGCGTGGGAAGGAGACGAGGGAAGGTCCCATCTCGCCCAGCTGTCCCTCAAGCTGGTTCTCCTCTGCAGAAACATACCCTGTCCTGCCCATCAGTAAGGAGTTAGGGTCCCTCCCTGTGCGTTCGCTACACACACAAGAAGTGTCTGTTCCAGAGAGGCTTGTCCCCGCGAGCGGGAGTAATTGGGCGAGGGGGCACTCACCTTTCTCCTGGTGGGGTCTGTAGTGAGCTGGGACGGACAGACCTGGCATCGTGGGGCTGGCTGGCAGGTTAGCAGCTGCAGTGAGCTGGACTGTGTTCTGAAAATGCCATTTCTGGGTGGAGCCAGTCAGTGAGCCCGTCTCCTGAAAACGTCTCAGTGTATTACAGCAAAATACTGACTCCACCATCCTGGCAGTGACCTAGTGTGAGTTTCCATGTGAGGGCTGTCTCTCCCCTCGTGTTGTCGGCTTTCACCGTGCCAGTCTCGTACCTCCATGGCTGGACACGCACTCAGTCCCCACACCTCACGTCGGTGGTCACGGGGGCCGCTGCTGTGGACGCCATGTTTAAGGCCGCCCCCCCACCCCTGCCCAAAGCTGTCTGAGAATTCCTCTGGACTCAGGTCAGGCCAAACTCTGGTGCTAACTCCCGGGAGAGGGTGCGGTGAAGCCTCCTTCCCCTCCTGGTCATGCCCAAATGCCCATAGGAAACCTTTGTGGGCGAGGTCACGTGGCGTCTCCAGTCCAGAAGGGCCTGGCTCAGGAACGTGGCAGTGGGCGGGGCACGCCTTTGCTGGCCCCTGGGGGTTCCTGTAGGGCCAGGCATCGCCCCTGGGCAGCAGAGGCCAGGCCCCTGGCAGGCTTGAAGTCCCCGCCGATGTCACGCCGGCTGTGTGCCAGACAGGCAGGTGCCGGGCAGAGCACACCAGGATTGCTCAGAAACCGATGCTGACCCCGGCAGGGATCCTGGGGCGGGGCGCAGCCTGCACTTCAGCTTCGTGGTGTTTGCCGATGACACCATAGGCAGACTGATGGTGACTGCCGCGGCTCGGAGGTCCGACAGGACTGCAGTACTGCCATCGCGTGGCGAAGCCCAAAGGCTTACAGATCAACACTCGCAGGCAGGGAGACTGCCAACCTGACAGGACCGGTTAAGTAGAAAAGAAATTCCCAGCGGCCTTAATTTCTGCCGGCAGGATTATCTGCAGTGGTCCTTACCCTTGGATTTTGAAATGGGGGATATTCTTTGCCCGGTTCCTTGCCTTCCTGCTTCGGTACCAAGATGAGGAACGTGGGCACCCTGCAGACAGATGTACCTTAAATCACATCGATTGTCTTAAGATGCTGAAAGTCAGCCGTGAACCAAAAGTGGTGTCAGAATAGCAGAAACACTGGAAGAGCTAGAAGCTTTAAAATATGAGATTGGAGAGTTCATGGATTTTTAAAATTTTTCTTTCCCGAAATACCAGTAAGGTGAGTTTTGTTCCTTTAAAATAAAAGTTTCAATAAACAAAAATGACAGCAACAGGACTTAGACGCATAGCTGAAGTGCACTCATTTCAATACCCGTTCTCTGCCGCAGGCTGTGACAGTTAGGGCGCCACCGATTTTGATCATTCCATTCTGACCCAGTACAAACTGTGATGAGCTGTTAGGTTTTAGCAGCAGACGGGATTCAAAGTAAAATGAATGTTCGCAAACATAAATTTATAGTCTTCCTTTCTTTATATTTCCACCGTTGTAAAACTGTCGATTTGTACTGTCTGTTTCGTACATCTTTGGACATTTTGTGTCACAGTGAAAGAAAGACCACTGAGGTTCTCAACTGAAGGATGAAGACATATATGCGTATAAATTTCTCTTCTCTAAAAACCTTATTTTATTTTTATTGTGGTATTTCTTGTTTTAATTGCCAGAAGGCGTGTGTGTCCACCAGAGAGAGAGAGAGAAGACCGCCCCCGGCGCAGTGTGGCCACGCTGCAGTCCCTTCTCTGTTTCTTCATGCAGCTGCAATTCTGGACACACAGCCCCACACCTGGCATGTTTCTCAAGCCACTGGGGCTGGGGCTTGAACCGCAATCACCCATGTGGGACCTGGCTCCCTTAACCACTAAACTGAAGTGGCCACTTGGTTTTACTATGTGGTAGTCCCTTCTCTTTCACTCTCCTCTCAGGATTTTGGGCATGCACATACATATGCCTGGTGTGGTTTTCAAGCTGCTGGGTCTGGGACTCAATGCGAGACCAGCCACGTGGGAATCCAGTGCCTTAACCTCCACGCCACCTGCTGGCACCCAGGTGTCCACTTGAAACAGTATCCGCGGGAGACACAAGCAGTTTGAAGTTCAGACCCCGTTATGTTTGTCCAACCTAATACCTTAGGCGCCTCTCAGGGAAATAGGAGAGGAGGACGTATTAAGGAGAAGTCACCAGGTCCTCTGGCCAAAGTGAATTCCCAGCTCTGTGCCCAGTGATGTCCCACCAGGGAGGCCCCGCTGTCCCTGGGTCAGGGGCAGAGTTTGTAACCTGAAGGCTAGAGCATGCCGGCTGGTGGGCTTTCTCCAGTCACAGTGCAGCCCTCATAGCCTTGGAGCTTCCTCGGTTATCTCGTCCACGCATTAGAGCGACAGTCACCCCACCAAGGCTTAGATGCCACCACCCACCCCTGTCCCAGCTGCCCTGGATTACAGGCATGGATGCACTGGGACCCTCGGGGGGGTGCCTGCCTGTAAACCTGGAAGCTTCCCACGTGGGTCGGCCTCAGAGCTTACATGGACAGTGCTGGAAGCTTCCCACGTGGGTCGGCCTCAGGGCTTACACGGACAGTGTTGGAAGCTTCCCACGTGGGTCGGCCACAGAGCTTACACAGACAGTGCTGGAAGTTTCCTGCTCTGGAATGAAATACCTGGCTACTTCCGGTTTTCTCTCCTAGAAAATGCGGCTCCAGACGGTGGCCCGAGGGAAGCCGAGCAGTGGCTGAGCCTTCGGTACCCACCTCTGTGAGAGCTTTGGTGCCCTGGGTCTGTACAGAAATTAGTGTGTGTTTATTCCGTTAAAAATTGTAAATGCGGGAACCAGCAGTTAGCGTAACGGCTATGTTGCTGAACTCCTACGTAGTCGACCGCGGTTCGTGTCCTGGACCCAGTGGCTTAAAACTCACGCTGGGCGCATGTGCGTGTGTGCCCAAGATCCCGAAAGGAGAATGGAGGAGAAGGGATTGCAGCGAGACCATCCCCCCTGGAGGGTGATTTCTTGCTTTCTGTCTCTATGTCTCTCTTTGTCTGTCTGGTGAGCGCACGAGCCCTATAGCAAAAAAAAAAAAAAGAAAACACAGAAACCTCTCAAAAAAAAAAATTGTAAATGCTGGGGGTCCACCAGATGGCATAGTGGTTATGTTGCTGGACTCCCACATGGCTGACTGCAGTTCAAATCCCAGGCCCAGTGGCTTGAAAATCATGCAGGCACGTGTGTGTGCGTGCCCACGATTCCAGGAGGCGAATGGAGGAAAAGGGATTGTGGCATAGCCACCCCTCCGGGGGTTGATTTCTCACTTTCCCTCTCTCTGTCTGTTTTTCTTTCTTTCCCTGGTGAGTGCACTTTCCCTAAGACAAAAAGCCTCTTAAAAATAAATAAATAAATAAAGGATAAATGTAGGCCTTCTGTGGTGGGTGGGGCAGCTGGACCCCACACGGCTGACCCTACTGTTCAAGTCCCAGACCTGGCAGCTAGAAACACACTAGGTTCATGAACGTGTGTGCCCCAAATCCCGAGAAGGGAGAAAGGACCGCGGCATGGGGAGGTGCTTCTCACTTTCTCCCTGTCTCGTCTGTCTTCAGCAAGCGCACACGCCGTCCGGCAGATTACAGACGTGTACGTGTTTCATTGTGTGTCGTGGCCTGGGCCTTTTACACTCGTGCGTTTGCATTGCTGAGTCATGGATCACGGCCAGCAGACGTGGGAGGAGAAAGTGTAATGACCCCGCATGCCTGTGACCACGCTTCAACCGCCGGCCCTCGGGCCCAGCTCTCCTGCTTCCCTGGCATTCACTGTGCGGGGGAGCAGACCAGCAGTGCTCAGCACTCAGAGGACTGTAGCTGTGCAAGTCTTCAGGCCTTCCGGGCTACAGGAGCGGCGCACCCAGGGGAGGGCCAGGCCCACGGCTGGGAAGAGCCCTGCAGGCCAAGTGCTTGCAGCAGAACAGGCCGCTGTGGGGGCGGGGAGGCCAGAGGCCCTCGGAGCTCAGCTGTGCTTGGCTGGGAGAGCTTTTGACGTCAGCAGTCTGGGAGGATCTAGGCCTTTCGGGGTTAAATGCACCCCTCATGGGAAATGATGTCATTTACACACCTTGCCTGCTCTTCCCTGGAGAGGCCTGAGTCCACCACTGCCCTCTGCTGGGCTAGCAGTAGCGTTCTCACCCACCTTCCAGAGCGAGGCCCCTCCCTGTGCGCAGGGGCAAACTGTCCTAACCCTCAGTGCCGGTTGGAGATGGCCTCCGCTCTGAGCACCTTGAGCTTCCCTCGCCCCTTCTCAGGACACACAGCGCAGGCGCGCCCAGGGGCTGCCGTGCAGGGTCAGTAGGTACAGTGCAGGCTGGCAAAGCCCTCACCCCAGGTCGGTTTCCCACCCTGGCTGCCACCTGCTGTGAGCTGCCACATCGTCCCATTCCACCTGGGAAATAACCAAGCCTGAGACCCGGCAGCCCTGGAAGGTGGGCAGGCCCCGAAGGGCCCACAGGGAGCTGCCAGCGGGGGCCGGGCTGGCTCTGACTTCACGGCCTCAGGACAGCCTGGCCTCCGTGCCTCTCCAGACCATTTGGTGCCGCAGCTGAGGCCTGAGCAGCGGGAAGACAGGGTCTCCCAGGAAGGCCCTGACGCTGCAGGGAGAAGCGGGTGGGTCTGGTCCTTTTTCTCACTGTGGCTTTGGGCTCATTTTCATAAAATGCTGTTTCCTTTCTACTTAGTGACGCTTACACATCCAATGTTCCAGAAAATACACAGACATGCTCTTGCGAGCTCAGTGGACTGGCTCCGTCTAGCAAGGGCTGAGGAACCTTGGGTGGCCTTCCTGCCGGTCCAGTGCGGATACTCAGGGTGACAGTGCGCTTTGCCCCGGCTGGCCCAGCCTGTCATTAACAGAGATCTGAGGGATGATGGAGAACACGGAGCGGGCTCCAGCGCGGATACTCAGGGTGACAGTGCGCTTCGCCCCGGCTGGCCCAGCCTGTCGTTAACAGAGATCTGAGGGATGATGGAGAACACGGAGCGGGCGGAACCTGATTGCAGCGATGGCCAGGTCTGCCTCCACTGCAGGGCCCTGCACTGAGACTGACCGCGTGGTCAGGCACGAGGCGAAGCTGCTGGGAGGCGGCACGGAGAGCGGGGTGGGCCTGCGGAGGCTCAGGCTCGTTTCCGGAAGGGCTCGGCCGTCCTACGGCACTCGCAAGGGGGTGCGCGCCGACCTTGCCGGCCTCCGCAGACAGTGCGGCCCACGGTCACTCACCCGCTCCCCAGGAAGACAGCACCTGGCGGGGGCCCGTGCCACGGTCCCTTCCCTGCGTCTCCTGCCAGGACTAGGGCGCTTACACTGGCACCTGGCCGTTGTAAGCCACGGGTGCCAGGATTCCAAATGCGGGCAGCCGTGGAGTCTGGCTCCCTTCACCGCCAGCTGTGGGCCGGCCCACTGGTTGGTTCCTGGACCTTGTACTTGTCTGCAGCGGCTTAGAGGTGAGGGAGGGGCAGGGTGTGGACCCTGGGGGGCCGGTAAAGCCACCCCTGCCTCTACGGTGGGAGGTCCTGATATGCCGGTGCTGAGCTGGGGCAGGTCAGCGAGGGCATGAGCCTCGGCGCCATCACCACTGCGGCCGGATGAGCCCTGCTGGGAGCTGCCTGCACTGCCGCGTGTCAGCACCTCTCGGAGTAACTGCCAGAGACACACCGTCCTAGCTGAGTGCCCTTCCCCCGTGAGGACAGGTACCCCTCAGGTGCTGAGGAGCAACTCAGACAGTGAGTGCCAGATGTGTTCTGGGTGGCGAGGAGTGCTGGGGTGCACAGGCTGAGCGCAGAGGCCCAAGTGCAGAGGCCGGAGCAGAGCAGCCGGAGCGCGGAGGCGTGAGTGCAGGGGCCCGAGTGCAGGGGCCCAAGTGCAGAGGCCGGAGCAGAGCAGCCGGAGAGCGGAGGCGTGAGTGCAGGGGCCCGAGTGCGGGGACCTGAGTGTGGAGGCCTGAGTGCAGATGCGGGCTGGCAGCTGGGTGGCTGCTGGAGACCCAGGGTGGAGGCTGGGGTGGGAGGGCAGACTGGCGGAAGGTTTTAGGGGAGGGGAATGCAGCAGAGGCTTGAGGCAGTAGCGAGGAGAGTGCTGGAGGGCAGCGCTGGCCTGGAAGGATGTCACACCGGAGCTCCTCTGGCCAGGGCTTGGCCGCTCGCCTGGCCCAGGAAGGCCATGGCAGCCTGAATATGTGGGCTGAGGGCGTCCAGATGCCAGGTGACAGCGAGGGCCAGAGTGAGGGTCCGGGTGCGGGGTAACAGGTCTTGTAGCACACTGAGTGCTGGAGTCAGAGGTGGCAGGGTGACCTTGTGGCCGGGCCCCCGCCGTGACTGGGCCATTCTGGAGGTCAGGCCGATGCAGGGCTGAGAGGAGACCGAGGAGGAATGCCTGTTCCCGCAAGGAAGTGCAGGAAGGAGAGAGGCCAGCCGTGTCCGCGGCATCTGGCATGGTTCCAGCCTTCTTAAAGCCACAAGGGGCACACACGTCCCCCCCCCCTCCGTGAGTCACGGGGACCGCGATGTCTTGCTTTCGGAAAAACAAGGGTCTCTCAGCTCCTCCGGTGTGTCCGCGGTGTGGTGCCTGCGCACCAGTGACTCCATTTTGGTCAGGTCTGTTGGAGCAGGAGCTTAGTCCAAAACAAGAGGCTCCCAGGATTTAGAAACTGCAAGGACCGAGGCCGCTGTACCTGTCTGATAACTGACCTGCCAGGGGCACACACCTTCACCAGGGACAGAGAGGGCAGGCACCCCCGAGCGTGGCCACGTCCGACTTCGTCTTTATTTCCACCGTGTCAGGAACGGGCGCGGGCACGCTGTGGCTCACGCGGCAGGGGCTGGAGTTCGCAGCGGTCCAGATGCACCGTGTGGGTGGGCGCCCTCGCCACACTGCGCTAGTTTAACAGCAGGCTGCTCAGTGTCTGGGGTTCAGGGAAAGGCCGCCTCTTGCCGGCACACTGGGGTGTTCTGAGACTCCCATACGCCGACAGACCTTGTCTTTCCGCAAAGAAGCACCCCTCCTCGGGTCCTCCAGGCTGGGTGCTAGCGTCTGGACCCCTGCCTCCCTTCCCGCCGAGGACCCACACCATTACTGCCGCACTGGGAGAGCCCCAACCAGGCTCTCAGTGGGAAGTGGCCTGGTCACTCGGGGCCTGGGAGGACTCTGGCTGCCCGGAAAGCCCTTCTGTCGGCCAGAAGGCGGGAACAGAGCTGACAGATGGCCGAGGGCTCTGGACGGGTCGTGGTGCCAGGGGAGGATGGGACTGCTCCACCTTCCAGGACAGAGGGCCAAAGGAGGGTCCTGGCTCCTGCTGGTCCCCATGACGGCACAGGAGAGCCCAGGCCTGTGCACCGGGGCAGGGGCCTTCAGCTTCCCCAGCACTCGATCCCCCGGCCACCACCACCCTCTCCCTTCCGGAAACCCCAGCATCAGGGGACACCCATTGGCTTTTCCAAGCAGGTCCCTCACAGGCCTCTCTTCAGACAGCCCCGGAGGCAGAAGGAAGAAGAGAACAGGATGGGCGAGAGGGGGGAGGAGAGGGGTTCGGCAGAGCTGGGGACAGGCGTGGGTGGGAGGAGCCTGCAGAAGGTGGGGGCTTGGGAACAGCCCAAAGGAGAGCAGGTGGATTTCCGTACAATGGAACGTGAGTCAGCCAGGTAGAGAGGACCTTTTAGGCTACAAAAAGACCCAAGAGAAACCTTCAGTGCACACTCAAAGTGAAGCCAGTCTGAAAGGGTGGCACGGGGGGGGGGGGTCACTGCCACCACGGGGCCGGCTGTTAAGGCAGAGTGCAGACGGCGAGATGGTGGGCTGGCCTGGCTGCTTCGTGATTAACCACGGCACATGGTGGGCCAGGTCAGGCAGGGGCCAGAAGGGAGGGATGAAGGGGTGAGGCACGAGGGCAGCTGAGGTCAGAGAGGATTCTGTGACTGTCAGTACCACAGGGCACTGTGCACGTGTCGAAACACGCAGACTGCACGGCACAGCCTCGGTGCACACCGTGAGCTGTGGTTAATCAATGCAGCCATGGGCCAGCAGGTGGCGTAGTGGTTAAGGTGCTGCGCCCCCACGTGGCCAACCACAGTTCCCGTCCTGGACCCAGTGGCTTGAAACTCATGTCAGGTGCATGTGTGTGTCCAAAATCCCATATGAGAAATGAGGAAACGGGGGACCAGCAGTTAGCATAATGGCTATGTTGCTGGACTCCCACGTAGTCGACCGCGGTTTGAGTCTCGGACCCGGTGGCTTAAACTCACGCCGGGCGCGTGTGTGTGCCCAAGATCCTGAGAGGAGAATGGAGGAGAAGGGGTTGCGGTGTGGCCATCCCCCCGGGGGGTGATTTCTCTCTTTCTTTCTCTCTGTCTCTGTCTTTCTGGTGAGCGCAAGCACCTTCTAGCAAAAATCTCTCAAAAAAAAAAAAAAAAAAAAGAGTGGAGGAGAAGGGATTGCGGCGTGGCCGTCCTCCAGGGGGATGACCCCTTTCTGTCTCTCTAGTGAGCACACACCTTATAGCAGAATTCTCTCAAAAAAATAGCAAGGCAGCGACGCGGCTCTCAGCTGTAACAGATGCCCTGCGCTAAAGCCACACGGGGTAAGGGACCCTGTCAAAGGACAAGGGGGCTACGGGACTCTGCCTTCTGTGTCCAGTTTTCCCATAAACCTAAAACCGCTTTTAAAAATAAAGTCTACCGATTACTAATAACAAAAACCAAGACCAAGACAGCAGCACCCCATCGGGTCGAGCTGGAACGGGGACATTCCTGGCTGGGGACAGTGGGTGACAGATGAGAGAAGGGCCCACGAGGGCCGGCTGCCACCCAGCTCTGCCTGGCTCCACCCTGTCACCAGCTCGAAGGGCATCTGAGTGGGTTTCTCTCCTGCCCTGTCACTTGGGAAGCCTTCTCTTCCCCCGGCTCTGTGGGAATGGTGACCTGGCTCCCCAGATCTAGGGCCTCCGGCTTGGGGACGCGGTGGGGCTGTACCTTTACCTGCCCCTCGGGACTCACTCCTGAGACATAGCCTGGACCCCGGACAGGAGCTGTTTCCCCACTGGAGAGAGACGCCCCACCCCAGGGCAGCTGCTGCCCGACCCCCAGGACTCTCAGGGGAGGGCTTGGCTCCAGGGCCCAGGGTCAGTGACGCTCCTCAGGGACAGGTGGCCTCAGAGGGACAACGGCCTTTGGTGGAAAGCCTTTCTCAGCTCCCTCCAGCCCAGCCCCCAAAGCCCCTGGGTTCACACTGCTTACCGACAGGAGGGCCTCAGTAGGGCCACAGTGACACTCAGTGTGGGGACGCAGCAAGCCCTCCAGCTGCACGGGGCCCGGTCATGCTGTCTGTACCCTGACTTCCATATGAGGGTGAGGCTGACGTGTGGCAGAACCGGGGCTGAAACCCCACGTGTCTGCTCAGTGACCGGGTTAAGCTCTCCACGCGTTCCCTCCCCTGTGAACAGCACTCTGATCCTCACCTCGCTGGCCTGGTGTGAGGACGCGCCCGGGAAGAGCCCAGTCCCGCCAGGCTGGGAAGGGGCCTCCCCTCTTCCCACAGCCCCCCCCCTTCTCTAGCTCCCGGAGGAATCCCACCCCCCACGGGGGCCCTCCCTCTGTACCCTCAGCTTCCTGTGTGTCCTGAACCAGCCGATAAGGAATCTTCAAAAGTTCAGAGAAAATGCACATGAGCAACCTGTGCGAGGATTTCACAATGTTTGCACCAACAAACTCACACTTTAATCCTGTTCTCCCGTGCTCTTGTGCAATTGCTGCAGTCCCCTGTACTCTTCGCACCAACGGAAGGCGGCCCGGCCAGTGAGCTGATCAGAAGCTGAGAGGCAGGGAAGGAGGGGAGACGCCACCCCGGCACCCACCCTGCCTGGCTCCCACCGAGAGCCCAGATGCACGCGTGCGGGGCGCTCCGTCCACAGAGCAGCCTGGAAAAGGAGCCAGGGCGGAGGACGGCTGGGAGCGGGGAGAATGCAGGGCTTATCCACGGGTGGAGAGGGGGTGCCTCTGCAAGGAGCAGGCGGGGGCATTCAGGGCCCCGCAGAGCACAGCCCCACACCGAGAGCCTGGGGCAGCGAACTCGCCCATGGCAGGGGACCGCCCCTGTTGCCGCTGCAGCCAGGCAGGTTAATTAAGCTCTGTTCATGTTTTCAAAACAAACGATAAATCACACTCCAAGTCTCTGAGAAGAGCGCTCAGTCACAGCCGTGGCAGCAGCCTGTCACAGGTGGCCAGCAGCACGCTCGGCGGCCTTGCTGGCCCCGCGGCACGGCACCTGCTCCTCAGTTCCCGCAGCCGCCCCTCCTGGGCCCTCCGGACAGCAGGGGGCCCCGCCTGAGTTGGCCACATGCTCCCCCCAGCAGGGCTGAGGGTCAAGGCCCAGAGCTCCGTCCCAGAGCAAGAAGGAGAGGCGGCCCCAGCTCCGAACCCACCCCTGCAGGGCCAGCTCCCGCTGCACCGCCTGGGGTCAGGAGGGACATCCGCCGGCTGACGTCACCGCTCGTGCTTGGCTTCACTCCGCTCCAAGGTGACCCCACTGCCGTTCCGGGGGCCCTCCTTCTTGCCCCAGTCCTTCTCGGCGTAGAACTCGGCCAGCACTGGGCAGTGCTCGGAAGCCACCCCGCCCCACGACCAGTTATCCGGGATCCACGGGTTGGTGAGGCCTTCCCTCACCACAGCCCAGTGACCTGAAGGGATAGGAGAGACGGCCATGAGGACAGGCGGGTCGGACCACAGGCGGGGGAGGTGACGCTGCACGCAGCACGCAGCACGCCTGTGCCCGACGGGCTCCTTGGCTGGCTTGCGGGTGCCCACCAAGGTCACACACTTGACTTTCTGAACGAGGGCTGCCTGGCAGGCGCAGGAACTAGCCAGGGCCAGCCTCTGCCTGCACCAGGGCTACTGGGACAGCAAGAGGCCAGTGAAGGCGGGCAGAGGCCACCCGAGGGGCCCGAGGAGAAGGCAGCATTTCACAAAGCAGAGGGCACGGAGGGGCGGAGGGGGTAGCGACCTGCAGAGAGTACCAGGACACACACACTTCCCAGGCCATGAGCTTGGTTCAGCCTAAGGATTCAGAAACGCCCGAGGTGAGCGCGCCCTGGAGCCCAGAGAAGCAGCAAAGGAGAAAAGCGAGGATGATACAGGGACACGGCAGCGCGTGGACTCACAGGGCAGGCTCGCCTGGAGCTGCAGCCGCCCAGGTGACAGCCCCACCCAGCACCCCAGGCCCCATGACTTAGTGGGGAGGGCCAGCTGGGACGACTCCTGTCCGTCCAGCCCCATAGCTCGGGCTCGGCCCCTCCTGGAGGGCAGGAGCCTTCCAGGGCCTTTCTGCAAAGGTGTCTGGACCAGCTGGAGGGTGGCACCCCAGAGCCGTGTCCTGGTACCCCCCACACAGAGCTGGGCGGCCCTACCGCCCTGAGGGTGCTCCGCAGAGGCCTCTGACCCCGCTGCACAGTGAGTCTGTGGGCCAGGTGGGAGATGAACCTCACCTCCACTTTCTCCCTGGAGGTAACACGTGTGCTGGCCGTGCATCCCTGGCCTGGGGCCCTGCTGCTTCTCCCACTCTGCTGTCGTCTGGCACAGCAGTGGCTAGTGTGGGGGAGGTGGCTGCTTCTTAGTGCCGACATGACCCCGCGCCCTGCTCCTGGGGTGCACAGGGCACGTCTCCCCTCCCGTCAGACCCGACGGGCCGGCCCACTCACCCTGCCTGTGCACAGACTGCCTGAGCACCTGACAGGTGTGAGCTGAATGACGGAATGTCAAGATTGGGTATGCTTCCGCTCGTCTGACTCAGGCCTCTGGGGGCCTGGAGCCAGGTCTGCCTGGGGCACACAGGTCTGTCCCCGTTGTAAACCAGCGGGGCCTTCGACCTGTCACCTACCCTCCACCCTCAGCACAGCCTCTCACGGTGGTAACCACAGCCCTGCAAGTGCCCACAGGACGTGGGACTCCACGTGCTCGGACCCGGCCCTCTGGCCCCGGGGAGCAGGGCCGGCAGCAGCGTGTCTTCTCACCTGTGAAAGCCTTTTTCAGGCCCTTGCTGATCCAGATGTTGTCCAGAGACTTGGCGCCTTGGGGGTTCTTGGTGCTGATGTTGGTGAAGGTGTGTGCGGGCACCAGGGGCTGGAACTTCTCCTTCCGCAGGATGTCGTAGTCGCTGCTCTCTGGCCCTTGGCCGAAGTGCCCTAAAACGATCACGTCCTTTTCTCCTGGGGAAGAAGGCAGAAAATCAGGAGTGGAGGAGCTGGTGGCAGGAACCCACAGGGACACAGCACGCCAACCGGCAGGGCTAAGGGCCCGGTGGTTCCGGCGGCCGACCCGAAGCTCGAGTTCCAGGCCTGGCGGTCTGAGAACATGCTGAGCACATGTGCCTGAGTGCCCAAAACCCCCACGCGCACGGGGCCTGTCTCTTCCTCTCCCTCTCTCCCTGCTCTAGCACCGAACTTAAAAAAGGAAGAGGGAGAAATAGGATTAAGATCGTCTGACTCGATTCTCCAAGGTTAGGGTGAAGGCATGGTTCTCGTCCCGATTTTCCGTATTTCTTGTGTAAAAGTTTCCCAACTTGGAGGAGTAGTGAGCAGCATTTGGGAGGGGCGGTGATGTGGCCCACAGTGCACAGGGAGGCACCTTTGCCGTGGCTCGGCACCGTGGCGCTGTCACGTGCCACTGTGGCTGGCCACAGGTGGAAATCCTGGAGGGGAAAATGCCTCCTAGTCTCCCCAGATAGTTAACAGAAGCTCAGAAAACATGCACAGAACACCCGGTTGGTCCCACCTGTGCAGAAGGCTCAGGTGAGTAAGCCCCCACCCTAGGAGCCCATGGTGTGCGGGGCACAGCCCAGGTACAAGCAGAGCAGAGCACACTGCCAACACAGCACAGGGAGGGCAGTCAGGGAAGGCTCCCTGGAGGGGACAATGCCTGGCTTCTTGGGTCGTAGAGGACACACAGGAGTGCCCAGGTCAACAGGCAAGGGCAGGGACCCAAGGCAGCTGGTCCTCCACACCTCCGGTACCAGGAAGGGCAACGCCGGAGACGCGGGCTCGGCCGGAAGGTGCTCTGTCCTCCATGTCGGCGTCCGCAGGGTCCCGGGAGGCCGGGTGTCCCGCACCGTGCGAGCTCTCTTGTGCCCGTTGGCATGAGTGACGCTGAAGGGGGCACCTCGTCCCAGCGTCTGCGCCTGCCCTCGTCCTCGGGGTGGAGGCACAGCCGAGGGCAGCCACCTTAGGGTACTTGGCAACACCCCTGGCTTTCCACGGATGTTTGGGGCTCCAGCCAGGTAAGGCACTTCCTCTCACCCAGACCGCCCCGCCCCCGCCTAGTCACCAACGCAACTCACTGGCCCTGAAACAGCACTTCTCCGTCAGTGGGGACCAAGCTGCACCCCTCTCCCGGGCTGGGGGACCATGGCTTTGTATGGCTGTGGCTTCTGTCCCAGGGAGCACGGGGCTGTCCTCTCGACCACCTTCTTCAGGCAGTACCTGCACCAGTGCAGACGCACTAGGGCCTCTGCAGGGCTTGCGGCCTACATCCCACCCTCGACCATGCCTGGGATGCCTGCTTCAGAAGACGGGCTCCTGCCACGTCACAGCCTCCGGCCCCGGCTCCCGGCTGGGACTAGGTGCGTGCCCCGTCTGGCTGTTCTTTATGTTCTTGGCTAATTTGCCAGAGGACACATGCGCTCCTCAGACCAGGACAGAGGGAGGGGGGACGCACCCGCCGTGCACAGCGACGCTGCAGTCCCTTCTCCGCTCCTCAGAGTCTTGGGCACTCGGGCATGCACGCCCGGTGTGCTTTTCAAGCCGCCGGGCCCAGGATCTGAACTGCGAGGTGGGCCATGTGGAATCTGGCAGCCTCGACCACCAGGCGGCAGATCAGCACACCGATTTTCTTGACTCTCATTCTGAGACTATGTTTCTTTTTTTTCTTTTTTTGAGAGGTTTTTACTATAGGGTGTGTGCGCTCACCAGACAGACAGAGACAGAGAGATAGAAAGCAAGAAATCACCCCCCAGGGGGGATGGCCACGCCGCAATCCCTTCTCCTCCATCCTCCTCTCGGGATCTTGGGCACGCACGCACACACGCCCGGTGTGAGTTTTAAGTCACCGGGTCTGGGAAGTGAACCGCAGTCGACTATGTGGGAGTCCAGTGACATAGCCATTACGCCAACTGCTGGCCCCCTGAGACTATATTTCTGAACATTAACACTCTCACAGTCATATTCTCTAAAAGCAGGGATACTTCCATCTCCTTTCTCCCAACTCACTTCACCACATTAACCCGAATTAACGAGGAGAGTGAGCACAGACATCCACAGGAAATGACGCCAAGGCTGATGGCCAGCACGTTTGGAAATGCAGTCCTCGGCCCGGCTGGCGGGCTCAGTATGGAGTCCAGGCTGTGCCCAGCCCCTGAGGGACCTGGGGAGAGCCTTCGGCTGCACCCGAGGGGGCCAGCCCACTTCTCCCAGGGCCAGCTTGTCCGGATCAGCGTCTGTGCCTCCCTGCCCGCTGCCTGACCCGGGTGGCACGCCTGCCAGAGTGGTGGCTGGCCGCAGGGACGGTGTGTGCAGTGGAAGGCCTTCTCTCAGCGCTCAGACGTCTCTCCCACAGGGAGTGGGAGCAGGGCGACGCCGCAGTTCCCAGCAGAAATGCCAGAACAATGGAGCCCGGGGAGGCCCAGCGGGATTCCCACGGCCGGCCTGACCCTTCCTGCCCGAGTTCACGGGGAGCCACGTGCTGCGGGAGGCAGCGGGAGGCTCTGGGGAACACAGTGCAGAGGCACGGTGGCAATGCTTGCAACGGCTACTTTCCGGGAAGCAAGCGTGCTCCGTGAAAAGGGCTGCAGGGAAAGAAACCCGCTGCGATGACAGAGGGAGCTGCCACGCCGCGAGGGCGCGGGGCCGATGGCGCGGGGCCGAGGGGCGGGGCCGCGAGGGGGCGGGGCCACGAATGGGCGGGGCCGTGCCTGTCCTGCAGCCCAGTGTGGCCAGCACGCTGGGCACTCAAGGAGACCAAGCCATCCTGAGAAGCCAGGACCATCGACCCCCAGGAAGCCGACATGGGAACAGCACTCCTACCCAGCTGTGATGACCACGGTTGGGGCTGGCTCCTGAGCTGACCAGGTCCTCCAGACAAGTCAATGGACTGTCCCCGCCCCTCGGGCAGGTGCCATTACACCTGCTCTGCAGGTACGAAGCTGAGGCTCCGTGTCGTTAGTGTCCCCAAAGCCACCGGGTCAGTCCTCGGGTGGACTCTTCACGATGAGCAGGAAT